GATCAAATCACTGCAACAACTTTAGATGAAAAACCAAATGAGTTGGTTCAGTCAAAGTTTCTGCTAAGTTTCCTCCAACAGGAATAAATCATTTCTATTTCACTGCATAGTTTTCATTTGAGTGGATCTGCAGGCAGGAACTGTTTTATTCTCTCTCTACTTTATGAACTAATTAGTGACTCCTTTAGTTTTCATCATATTTAGTTTGAATCCAGACGACGTGACTCTGCAGGTCCAGTCTGGTTCTTAATTACTGCTGGTTCTGGTTCTGCAGGTGTTTGCCGCTCCGCTCAGCCTGACTGGAAACGTCCCAGTGAGTCACAGGCTGTTCTGAAACTTTGTTTGGATCGCTGCGGCTGTTTGGACTAATCAGGGAGGAGATGTTGTGACTGCGGCTTCCTCTGGAAACATTCCCGCCGTGACTCACCTTCCAAACTTAGCTCGGCCGTGAAGCGCTGGTCTGGAGGAGGGCCGCCGCCGCCGCCGCCGCCTGAAGGGCTGAGCGATGAGTCAGGAGGCAACGACCAATCAGGAGGCGCTTCACTGCGTTACGATCCAGGACTGCAACACCTCAGACGTCCAGCGTCTTTGCAGCCGTTCATGACCCGATTGAGACCCAGAAGCCTCTGGTTTCTACAGCATGGCCCAGTTCAGCCCAGTTGGGCCCAGTTCAGCCCAGTTGGGCCCAGTTCAGCCCAGTTGGGCCCAGTTCATTGGTCTGGTCCGGTTGGGTCCAATCATTTCTTTAATTTCATCCAGTTGGTTCTGATAGTTGTTGGTTAATCCCAACATTTTCTTCATAATCCAGTTTAATCCAGTGGCGTTTTCTACTTTAATCTGATTTATACCAGTTTGGTGAAAGTTTCATTCATTAGTTACAATCAGTTATATTTAATATTTCATCTGGATTTTGACTCCTTGACAAATTGAAATGAAACATGAAAATCATTTTACAGCTTGGAGGAAATAAAACTAAAGAGATTTTATGGAAATAGTTTAGAAAACTTCTGATTTACGACTTTGATGTTTTAACTCCCTAATAAACATTTATGTGGATGAAAAGTCGGATTTAATAACCAAACCTGATTATTTCTCTGCTTTCCCCTAAAACACTAAATCCTACCAAGAGTTTCTGTCGCTTTTACAGTGCAAATCCATCAACACACTGAAAATCAAGTTTTCATTCTATCAGCTGAAATAAAGTCAATATTCTCATTAGAAACAGAATCTGATTTTATTGATCCTGCATTGAAGAGCTTGAAGAAAAAACCTCAAAATGTTTGGACTCCATCAGAAATCCTCCTGCAGCGACACAAACGCAGCAACATGCTGGACCTGCAGCACAACGGCAGCAGCACAACCGCAGCAGCACAACGGCAGCAGCACAACGGCAGCAGCACAACCGCAGCAGCACAACCGCAGCAGCACGAGTCTGACGGCAAACGGTGAGTTCGTTTGACCCATCAGGGCCACCGTACGCAGAAACCTGCAGAAAATTTTCCACAGAAAAATGTCAGAAACTTCACAATTTGAAAAGTTGGAAACTGGCAAGAAAAAATGGGAAAGTTTGAGATTAATCTAGAAATTTTTCAGGACAAAAATTTTTGAGATTAAAAAGTCAAAAAATAGCAAGAAAAACTGAAATTTTGAAATTAATCTCAGTCGTTTGACATCCATGAGTTTATTAATCTGCTGCTTTAGGAAGAGAAAGAAAATCCTTTTTCTGAACTTTAAAAGTTGAAACATTTTCTAGAAAAGATTGAAATTTCTGATTTCAGTAACTTTAAAATTTGTGAGAAAGTTTTAGAGTCTCAGAATTTTTTCGGAAATTTCAGTGCTTTAATGTTCATAAGTTAGCAGAAGAGTTTTCTACAAAGTTTTGTTAGATTAATGCCAACATGTGTGATGTTTTTGCAGAACTCGTCTGTTTTCCGGTCGGATCCTGCAGCAGAAGGTTCCCACGGTTCCTGAAGTTCCCACGGTTCCTGTTGTTCCTGAAGTTCCTGCAGTTCCTGCGTCTCCTTGCAGCTTGGCGTTTCCTCCCTCCAGGCGTCAGGTACCACCTCGTGATGACTCATGCCTCTCCTCTGCTGCCGCCGCTCGTAAATCACACAGAGCACACGGAGTCCGGCTCCAGGCCCCGCGGCCGCCGTCATTAACATTCCTGCGCTCTACCTGCCGCCGTGGAGCAGCGCCAAGCGGCTCGCGTGTCGCCTGACGTCACCACAGAGCTGCGCTTCCACCAGCAACCACCAGGGGGTGCAACCAGGAAAACGTGAGGCCAAACGGAGCAGAAGAAACCCCATCGGGGCTTCCTCTGCCCTCTTTCATTTCTCATCTCAAGTTCTGGTTGTGAGTCAGTGTAGCGTGTTAGCATGGCTAAACGTTAGCATAGCCATGCTAACACGCTACATTAGCATAAAGAACTTCAGTTAAACAATTAAAACTGTAACGTCGTCTTCCTCGCTGACTGGCCGTCCAGCTCATGTTCCCACGCCGCCATCGTGTTTTTACTGAAGACTGTTTCACACACAAGAATGTTTATATGTCATTATATCAGATTATATGATCAGATTATATCTGATTATATCAAATATTATTAGCAGATTATATCTGATTATGTCTAATTGTATCTGATTGTATCAGATTATATCAGATTATATCAAATATTATCAGATTATATCAGATTATATCAAATATTATCAGATTATATCAGATTATATCAAATATTATCAGATTATATCAGATTATATCTGACTCCACATAGTTTAAAATGCACAACATTCTCAGAAGTTTGATTTGCAGAAATAATGTTGCTTTTGTCTGTCAGAGTGATTTTAATTGAAATCATGACTTTGATATTTGACCAGAAGCAATAATGATTCCACTTCCAAGACCAAATGAATATTTCTGACACTTTGCTACAAGCAATAAGAAATTTATTTTCCACCAATTACAAAGAAGCAAACATGTGATGCTGATATGTTACATGATCTGTAGAGGAGTGGACGGCGGGCGCTTCAGGCTAAACAATTCAAGCTAACAAAACCCAAACTAGGACTCTTGAAGTACTCTGATGAAAAAATAGGACATATTTAATGTCTAAGTAAAAAATAGAAAAGATCTATGAGTGACTGAACCCTGAACAGTGTTTAGGCCTCTGAACTAAAACATGACAGCCTCTTTGGTTCCACATCTCAACACTTTGCTCCTGTAAAAAGCTCTGTCTGTCTGTCTGTCTGTCTGTCTGCTCAGTGCAAATCCTAGCAACAAGCAGCCCAGAGGCCCAGAGGCCCAGAGGCCTGGAGGGCGTCGGTTCTGAGGGCGTCGGTTCTGAGGGCGTCGGTTCTGAGGAGCAGGAAGTGGAGCTCAGGTGTTGCTGCGCAGGAAGTAACTGGGCGCTCAAACTGTGTGGTAAAGTGTGTCAGTGTGCCGCGACGGCGTTCCGCAGGGACGCAGCTTTAAAAGCCTCTGCGTCTCATCTGGGTCGACGGTGGCCGCAGGTTTTCATGCCTCCATGCTGCCAGTGCAGCTGTATTTATAGCCTTCAGCGTCTGAAACGCCTCCATGTGTCGCTGCTGTGATGGCGGTCCAGGAGAGACGGGCTGGCAGGCCGCAGGGCAACCTGGTGTCGCCCCAAAATAAACCCTCAAGTCCCTTTGGAGTTCCTCAGGGCCTGAATTTAATCCCCCTTTTGATTTGCTTTAAGTCGCCTCTTTTTCCACTAAAACAGCAAAAAATCCCAACAAAATGTTACTTCAGCACTTTTTCCAGTGACTGAATCACAAGGTTTCATGTCTGAAAAGAACTTTTTCACATGTTTTACATCTTTTCCTGAACTGGTTAGCTTCCAGTTAGCAGAGTTTGAATGAACTGGTGAAACTGGTTTGTTTGTCAATCAGCCGATCAGATGGTTAAAGGTTCCATGTTCATTTGTGTCTGGCAGTCGTTCGTACCGCTAGCTAGAAAGTTAGCTGCACTAACCATAAACAGTAGTTAAGCTAACGCTAAAGCGCTGCACCAACATGCTATTTACCTGAAGCTAACGCTAATGTGCTAACTTCAGTTAGATCTGCTTTTCAAGGACAACATTCAAGCACCAATTTAATTTTCGTCAGTGTTAAAGTTCAATGTTTACATCTTGTTCTGAATTCAGTTATTGGCACAAACAGGAAGTGAAGACAGGAAATGTGGAATTCTGGGTAAACAGACTTTCAAATTAGAGCTTGAATATAAACGTCTCAATCCTTGAAGAATTATTAATAATCCAAAATTAAATTATATATTTAAGATTTGTCCAGAAAAATTAATTTAGGAGAAGCTAAGTGCAGTAAACGTTTTCAGAGCTAGCAGAAGCACTAAGCTAACAGTTAGCTGCACCGTTAGCAGGCCGCCGCTGAGGGCTGTGAGCGTCCAGATGTCCTCCAGCCTGAAGCGCCTGGTTTCCGGGTCCGGTGGTTTGGGGCTGCCGGGCGGTGGTACCTTCTACATGTTGCATAGCTAACGAACGCGGCACTTTGAAAGGGCTGGCTGCTGCAGCGGCCGCTGCAGCAGCTGCTGCAGCAGCCGCTCCAGGCTCATTCAAGGCAAATCAACCTGCAGGAGTTTGAAGACGTGCAGAGCTGCATTGAACTGAATATGGCAACGAGGCTCAGTTCCCTCGGGTCCAAGAGCTGGAGATGAATTTGTGTTGCTAAGTGCAAAGAAAAGATGATTTCATTTTACAGGTTCTGAGCGTCTCTAACTTCCACAGAGTCGTTTCCTCCACGCGACTCAACGCCGGCGCAAAGGAGCCGGAGTGGATCAGCCACATGGTAAAGCCAACAGGTCGCTTGGCGCCGCTGATGACGGGACTTGAAGACTTCAGGCAACTTTCAGCTGCTCCAAGCCTCTGGATTGTCAAACACTGTGAGAGCGGCAGGCAGGCGGCCCGCCGAGCCGAGGGCCCGCCGAGCCGAGGGCCCGCCGAGCCGAGGGCCCGCCGAGCCGAGGGCCCGCCGAGCCGAGCCGCCTGCCAGCCGGTGGCTGCCGGCCTTTGGAGGATGATTGTGAGGGTCGCGGCCCAGACGGCCCGGTTGGGTCACTTAAGTGCTGTGGGTTGGCAGTCGTACCTTCAGTGCTTTCATGCAAAACGAACATCTGACGTGAATAAGGCTCTAGAGCTGGACCTCCTGCTGGCAGAGACCTTCCTCAGTGTCTTTTGTCTGCCAGTCCATCAGATTTGGAAGATTGGACAGAATATAGAGCAACAGACATAAATATATGTACAAGGTTTTGTGCAGGCATACATGCAGTTTGTGGATGAGGACGTTCATAAATATTCTGATTTGTATTCATCGTTGCGGCGAAGCCGCCGGTCTGCCGCATTGTGGCGTTAAATAGACAGGAAGTGCAGTCAGGCGCAGCCGCATTCGTCCACGATCATGTTGGGAACGTCCCGCTTCACGATGTTGTACTCGTCGTCGAAGTAGAGCATGGACATGGTGCTGAGCTTGGTGGGGATGCAGCAGGAGTTCATGGACCCGGGGCTCATGCCCCGCATGCGGTACTGGTTCACCACGGCCGTGTGGAAGGACGAGGCCGAGCCGGGGACGCCCGCCATGTAGGCGGGGCAGTTCCCCTCGCAGTAGTTCCCAAAGTACCCCGAGGGCGCGATGATCCAGTCGTTCCAGCCGATGAGCCGGAAGTCGATGTAGAACTGCTGGCGGCAGCACAGGCTGCTGCTGCCGTCGCACTCCAGGCCGCGCTTCCGGATGCGGTGCTTCCCGTCGGCCCGCCGCGCCCGGACCACCAGGAAGGGCCGGCGGGCCTCGTCCTTCGGGTTCAGCAGCACCGGCGCCACGCCCTCCGCTTCGCAGCCTTCGCAGCGGACGTCCAGGTTCTGCCGCCGGTCGCCGCTCCGCTGGAACGCCAGCCGCACGGCGTCCGTCAGCGAGAAGGTGTGCCAGCCGCCGCGCCGCAGCTCCACCCGCTTCTCCACCAGGTCCCAGCGGCTGCCCAGGCCCGGCTCCTGGTAGTACACCTTCACCGTCACCTTCCGCTTCCCGCGCAGCTCGGCGCCGGCGGCCGGCGGCCGCAGCTTGAGGTACAGCCACAGGGTGGCCTGGGTCACATGGAGGTTCTGGTTCCCCTCGTTGGAGATCAGGAAGAACAGGCTGGACTTGGAGGTGACCAGGTCATCTGAGGAGAGCAGGAGGACAATACGGGTCAGAACCGATAGGGTCAGAACCGATACGGGTCAGAACCGATACAGGTCAGAACTGATACGGGTCAGAACCGATACGGTCAGAACCGAGGTGACAGAATAACATGGAACAGATGACAGATTAAACATGGCGGTTACACTGATGCATGATGGGAAGCTAATATTTTACTGGATCCCAGCCGCAAACAAATGGTGGGAACTGATGGCTACAAACTAACCGCACTGAAAAACAGCAGCGTGAAATATTACGCTAACGTTAAAGCGCTATACCAACATGTGATTTAGCTGAAGCTAAAATGCTAACTATCATCCAGATTATATCTGCTCCTAATGCACAGCAACCAATTTAATATTTTGATATGACTTTAATGCTCTTTGCTGCCCTGAAATATTAATTGTTGTTTGTATTTTGTTCTCTTCAGTTTTATTTTGTTACTTTATGTTTCTTGGATATAAAAGACGATAAACTACTTGAAGAATCTGAATGTCTATCAGTAAAACTTCAGAACTGAAGTTTTCCAAAGAGCCTAGTAAGTCTGTTCTCTACAGAACAGCGCACTTAGCTTTATGGGAAGCTAAGTGCGCTAACTGTCTCAAAGTTAGCTAGAATGCTAAACGCTAGATTAAAGTTAGACAACAACAGTTTGTTTTCCTCTGATAAACTTCAGGATTAGTTTGGATTCCACTGAAACATTGTGAACACGTTGGTACATGGTGGTGGCAGCATCATGCTGTGGGGACAGGAACAGCCCTCCATGGTTACACTGTAAAACATTCAATCTTAGCAAGTTTTCTTTTCAGGATGAAAAACTTTCACAGCAAAATACAGCAGCAGCTTGATTTAAACTCTAATGACTGAATATCCATCAGAAGTTTTAGTTCCACTGGAAGATTATTTCACAAAAACCTGGCAGTGAAACTAAAACTTTAAAACCAAAATTAAGAAATGATTTCATCTTGCTGAAGAATTCCTTATTGAAAGATATTTTCACTATAAATCAAAACACTTGTTCATATTTTGTTTTTACAGTGCATATCTCTGCCTGAGGAGGTCAAAGGTCATGGCGGTGAAAGTTCATAAAGAAACACCAAGACAACTTCATCTGATCCTCCCTGTCAGAATGTGAACCAAACATTGATTGATTGATTGATTGATTGATTGATTGATAAGAAGCTGTTTATTTCCCTATCCTGGACCAGAACCGCTCCTTCTGCAGCAGAACCGGGCTGAAGAACCTCAGGTTGACAACCTCTGTCTCTGCAACATGTTGCTGCAACCTGCCTGCAGCAACATGTTGCACAGTTTGTCCAACATGGGGCAAGGGGGCCAGAAGTGGCCCGGTCAGGAGCCTCTGGGGGCCACAACGTTAATATTTTATTTCTTTTACCTGATAAATAAATCATTGAACTAAAAACACAATTAAAATAAATCATTTTTTTAGTGCAACACTGTTTATTATTTTTATTGGCTAAGTAAACAAATATGGATGAACACATTTATAATAAACACATTTATTAGTATTTTTGATAATTACAAACATTTATTCTTTCCAATCTGTGAAATAATGTACTCTCAATTAAAAACTATTTTTTTGGATTTTTCATTTTGTTGAAGTGACAAAAATGTTCAGTTTTACACAATTAACTTAAAACTCTATTATAAAGCATTTTTCTAATTAAATATAATTGCAAAAACATTTTTACTTTTCCATTTGAAATAAATCAACTAAAAATATATTTTTAGTTGATTTATTCTTCCTGCTTATTAAATAGCAATAAACGTAATAAATCATGTTTCTGTTGATGTTTAGTTCAAATCAAGGATTTGACTGATTTAAAAACAGAAACATGATTCAGATTTTCTACATTTTATTTTTGTCAGAATTTGAATTTGATCAAAGTGAATTTTAGTAAAAAATGTTTTTTGCTTTTTGGTTCTGTGAAATTACAATTCAATTTGTTTTGCATTTTCCATGTTCAGATTTTAATTTGCTGTTTTTTAACAGCCGAGCATCAAACTGAGTCTTTGGTTGAGCTGCAGTAATGGGCCGCTCAGGATCACTCTGAGGGCCACAAAGGGCCCCTGAGCCTCAGTTTGGCCCCCAACAGGAACATAGAAACGTTTCATTAACAGGTTTATGACTTTTTAACAACTTCATACTTCAACATAATCCAGTCATCTACAAGTGGCATTTAAAAGGTCAAAGGTCAGAAGATGATGGACTGAAGTTCAGAAGTTGTTGTTTATTAATTTCAGTTACTTTGACTCCTGAATCTGCTGAAGATGAAATCAGAGGAAATTTCTGACAACCGACTGGAAGTTTTGTTTTCCCGCCAATTTTGTTCAGCAAATCAGGAATTTGATGATAAACTGATGGAAGCAGCGACAACAACACGACCCTCTGACCCCCAACACGACCCTCTGACCCCCAACACGACCCTCTGACCCCCAACACGACCCTCTGACCCCCAACACGACCCTCAGCATGACGCTGCCGCTCTGACCCTCAGCATGACGCTGCCGCTCTGACCCTCAGCATGACGCTGCCGCTCTGACCCTCAGCATGATGCTGCCGCTCTGACCCTCAGCATGACGCCGCCGCCGCCTCGGTCCTGCTGACCTTTCTCTGCGAAGCTGATGATCTCGGAGCTCTCCTCCAGAACCTCGTTGCTCATCGGATGCCCGTCCAGACTCGGGATCTCCACCCGGCCGTCCTCGCGCAGCTTCCCTGCGTGCAGCTTGCGCAGCGCCGTCACCATGGCAGCCCGCGGCACCGGGTGCGTGATGTTGGGCCGCTCCCGCAGCTGCAGCCGGCTCAGGATGTGCCTCTTCACCGCCTCCAGGAAGTCCCCGTCCACGCGGCCGGGCTCCGGCTCCTCCAGCCGGGCGGAGGCGGCGCAGGACGCGCAGGACTCGGGCTGCGCCCCGGCCACCGCCTCCGCCTCGGCGTCGGGCGCGGCGGCTCCGCGGGCGGAGAGAAGGACGCACGTCGCGAGCAGAGCCAGTCGGAGGAGACAGCGCGTCATTTTGTGAGTGAGTGGAACCGGAAAGAGTCCTCAGCTTCTGTTACATCCTCCGCGATCCTCCGGAGCCGGACGGAAACTGGAGCCGCTCTGCGTCTGGCTCTGGACTCAGCCCGAACCCGAATCCAGCTGGTTCCTGTCAGGGAGCGGAGCCGCGTCCCGCCGCAGCATCCTTCCAGTCCACAACCAGAACCAGAACCGGGGAGCCGCCTCTAGCGGGGGAGCTGCGGTCTGCCGCTGCGGAGAGGAGCACCAACGGGAGCAGCGGAGAGCAGCGCGCACAGGAGCGTTTCCATCCTGCCGTGCGTAAAACTGGAGAGTCCAAGAGCCGCCAGGAGTTATATAGAGGAGGGGGGGCCGGGGGGACCGGGGGGCGGGGCCAATCGGAGAGAGAGAGAGAGAGAGAGAGGGAGGGAGGGGAAAACCCTGCTGGTTTCAAAGCGGTGCAATTTTCAGGTTTGAGTCCCAAAGTTCCCGGATGTTGGTGGTGGCAGCATCATGCTGGGGGTTACAGCCAGAAACCACCTGGTTTCACAACATCAGTGACAGAAATACAGTCTGAAAAGTGCAGAGTACATTTTTTCTACACCCCCTTGACTTTGACTAGGCCCCTCTACAATACAGTCCAGATGGTTAGTCTGAACCATCCCACTGCATGATGCTGCCACCACCATGTCTCATGGTCGTTCAGCTTCAGACTAAAATCATTAAATGGTTTTAATTCTTTCATTCTCTTCTCTGATTGGCTGCTGACCAGCAGAACCAGTCCAAGCCCGGTTCTATTGCTGGTTCTGCAGTAGAAACAGAAACCCAGCCTGGTTCTGCTGGGCCCAAATATCCAAACAAGCCAGTAGCTTCAGCCAATGGCAGCGCAGGACTCAGCCCGATATTTGGTAGTAAAACCTGTCAACCAAATGAAGCCGCGTTGACCTCTGACCTCCCACATGCTGCTGTCACAACCCAGAGCCGCATGCAAACGCCTCTGGGGTTGTGGAAGCCACTGGGCATGCGCAGCAGCGGAGGAACTTGAGTTGATTGAAGCTGCGCTCAGAATCCACAGGGAAGGAAATGGCGCCATCTTCGGTCCGTCACTCGGAACTGCAGACCGGAAGCTGGCAATATCAGCTTCATCCATTTCTAAGTTTTAGTCCAATAATTAAAACCTTTTAAAAACATCTGAATGTATTTTATTAGAGATTCCTAGTTTAATTGTGCTTACTAAAATCTAAGCATTTGCATTTTATATTGCTACAAATATTATTTCTGCAATAATCAGGAACCCACGAGGGATTTTGCAGTTTATCTTCACATTAAAATTGAGAAAATAAAACGACAATGTTTAGGAATGCAAGTATCTTAATATATCTCATTTCATTTAATTTTACCTAGTAATATAATTTAGGTTTTTCTGTAAAATTTGTAATTTTCCTCTAATTTTTGTATTGCATTCTTTTCATTGTTATTGTTGTGTTTTGGGGAGTTTTTTTCTTTTTATTGAACAACATCATGTTAATGTAAGTAAATTTTTCATTCAAATCTATTTTACTTCACATTTACGTTTTGTATTTTTTTTTCTTTGAAAATTCATTCTTTTTAAAATAGGAACAGAATACAATTTAAAGTTCATATTTAATTAATCTAAATGTATGCGGTTTTTATTAAATATGTTTTTGCCTGACAGTAACTTTACTTTTCGTAGATTTATTGTAATTTTTTCGTGGTTTAACTAACTTTTTAAGAAAAGGGAACTCCGTGACATCACTTCCTGTTAATGATATCTGTGCCTATCCGAGAATGAACGGAAAGATGTATCACTACACTTTTAATTCTGTTGGAAGTCATTTCACTAAGCTGCCCCAGAGTTATTTCGTGTCTCTGTGGTTTAATCAACAATAAGAACAATATTTGTTTAACTGCGGCTTATTAGACTTCTTGTTTGGTCCTATAGTAACCAGAGGCGGTCAGAATTCCCGTCTCAGACAGGTTCTTGCTCAGAGGACTCATCTTCGCGGATATAGACGATCAGTGTAGGTCCGGGTAAAGGTGGGGCGCTCAGTCTGATGATCAACTTGTAAAAGTTTTCTCAGACGGGTTTCTGGGAGGACGGAGGGGAAACACGGCAGCGGGTGAGTCACCGGAGTTCCTCCAGGTTGTTTCGGTCACTGTCGGGCTCTCCATGCCGCAGAAAGGAGCGTTTACCGGTCTATTTTAACTCGAGTATCCCGAGTAGAGAAGCGTTATCTGTTGCTGCCGAACTGGCTAGCAAACGCAGGGCTCAGAGTGACTGGGTGAGCAGCCAATAGGAGCCTTCGGAGGGGAGTTCTGCTGCCAGTCTGAGCCAATCAGAGGCGCCGCTGCCGCTGAAGGCGGGAATGTGCAGCAGAGTGTTTAGAAACTGGTTTCCAGCTGCTGGTTCAGAGGAAACTGAGTGACGCCACAGTTCCTGATTCTGATCACTGGACCGTTCCGGGTCACAGCTGAGCCGGTACTGGTTCTGGCCTGGCTGCTCACGCTGGTTGGGTCGCCCCCACTGGCCCCACTGATAAGGTCAAGTGGGTCATTCCACAGCAGCTCCAGGCCCAGACTGACACTGGATCAGTACCACGGCTCCAGAACTAGTGGGACGTGTTCTGATGACTCTAGAACAGAAACGTTGCGCTCTGACTGGAGCCAGTCCCCCGTGAACTTTGACCTGGGACGTTCTTCCAGACCTGTAACTGTTCCAGGGTCCAGTAGAACCTCTTCGACCCGGTCCGGTGCTGTTGATGTCTGACTGCTTGTGTTTCTGTGCAGGAAGTTTCGTTTGGTTTGAGTCCATCAGCTTCCAGAGGAGCCGAGTCCTGGTTTGGTGTCAGGACCGGTTCTGATTCTGTCCCAGCTGGACCGACCGGACTGGAACCATGTCCTCCGGTAAGAATAAGGGCCAGAACTCGCTGACCCTCCACAAGGTCATCATGGTGGGCAGCGGCGGCGTGGGCAAGTCGGCGCTGACGCTGCAGTTCATGTACGACGAGGTGAGCCTCTCACTACGTTTCCCATAATGCCCCTGGCTTCTGTGAGCTGTCTGTCCGCTCTGTCGCAGTTCGTGGAGGACTACGAGCCCACCAAGGCAGACAGCTACAGGAAGAAGGTGGTTCTGGACGGGGAGGAGGTCCAGATCGACATCCTGGACACGGCGGGGCAGGAGGACTACGCCGCCATCAGGGACAACTACTTCCGCTGCGGCGAGGGCTTCCTGCTCGTCTTCTCCATCACCGAGCACGAGTCCTTCACCGCCATAACCGAGTTCAGGTCTGACCCGTCACCGGGGTAACACAGGGGTCTGGGTCCGGTACCAGAACCAGAGCAGAGCGTCTGACTCCACTCCGTTTCACGAATCGATTCAAATCGTTTGTCTCAAGGTTTCTGGCCAAATGAAGGAATTTATGTCAAATTCACTGTGAAGAGACGTTTTAATAACTTCAACCGTAAACTGAACACGAAGCAGAAAGTCCAGTCCTGTCATCAGCAAGGAGCCGCCTGACATGTTGCCATGTCTGTCATCCAGCAAGGAGCCGCCCGACATGTTGCCATGTCTGTCATCCAGCAAGGAGCCGCCTGACATGTTGCCATGTCTGTCATCCAGCAAGGAGCCGCCCGACATGTTGCCATGTCTGTCATCCAGCAAGGAGCCGCCTGACATGTTGCCATGTCTGTCATCCAGCAAGAAGCCGCCTGACATGTTGCCATGTCTGTTATCCAGCAAGGAGCCGCCTGACATGTTGCCATGTCTGTTATCCAGCAAGGAGCCGCCTGACATGTTGCCATGTCTGTCATCCAGCAAGAAGCCGCCCGACATGTTGCCATGTCTGTCATCCAGCAAGGAGCCGCCTGACATGTTGCCATGTCTGTCATCCAGCAAGAAGCCGCCCGACATGTTGCCATGTCTGTCATCCAGCAAGGAGCCGCCCGACATGTTGCCATGTCTGTCATCCAGCAAGGAGCCGCCTGACATGTTGCCATGTCTGTTATTCAGCAAGGAGCCGCCTGACATGTTGCCATGTCTGTCATCAGCAAGGAGCCGCCTGACATGTTGCCATGTCTGTCATCCAGCAAGGAGCCGCCTGACATGTTGCCATGTCTGTCATCCAGCAAGGAGCCGCCTGACATGTTGCCATGTCTGTCATCCAGCAAGGAGCCGCCTGACATGTTGCCATGTCTGTCATCCAGCAAGGAGCCGCCTGACATGTTGCCATGTCTGTTATCCAGCAAGGAGCCGCCCGACATGTTGCCATGTCTGTTATCCAGCAAGGAGCCGCCCGACATGTTGCCATGTCTGTCATCCAGCAAGGAGCCGCCCGACATGTTGCCATGTCTGTTATCCAGCAAGGAGCCGCCCGACATGTTGCCATGTCTGTCATCCAGCAAGGAGCCGCCCGACATGTTGCCATGTCTGTCATCCAGCAAGGAGCCGCCTGACATGTTGCCATGTCTGTCATCCAGCAAGGAGCCGCCCGACATGTTGCCATGTCTGTCATCCAGCAAGGAGCCGCCCGACATGTTGCCATGTCTGTCATCCAGCAAGGAGCCGCCCGACATGTTGCCATGTCTGTCATCCAGCAAGGAGCCGCCCGACATGTTGCCATGTCTGTCATCCAGCAAGGAGCCGCCTGACATGTTGCCATGTCTGTCATCCAGCAAGAAGCCACCTGACATGTTGCCATGTCTGTTATCCAGCAAGGAGCCGCCTGACATGTTGCCATGTCTGTTATCCAGCAAGGAGCCGCCTGACATGTTGCCATGTCTGTCATCCAGCAAGAAGCCGCCCGACATGTTGCCATGTCTGTCATCCAGCAAGAAGCCGCCCGACATGTTGCCATGTCTGTCATCCAGCAAGGAGCCGCCTGACATGTTGCCATGTCTGTCATCCAGCAAGAAGCCGCCCGACATGTTGCCATGTCTGTCATCCAGCAAGGAGCCGCCCGACATGTTGCCATGTCTGTCATCCAGCAAGGAGCCGCCTGACATGTTGCCATGTCTGTCATCCAGCAAGGAGCCGCCTGACATGTTGCCATGTCTGTCATCCAGCAAGGAGCCGCCCGACATGTTGCCATGTCTGTCATCCAGCAAGGAGCCGCCCGACATGTTGCCATGTCTGTTATCCAGCAAGGAGCCGCCCGACATGTTGCCATGTCTGTCATCCAGCAAGGAGCCGCCTGACATGTTGCCATGTCTGTCATCCAGCAAGGAGCCGCCTGACATGTTGCCATGTCTGTTATCCAGCAAGGAGCCGCCCGACATGTTGCCATGTCTGTTATCCAGCAAGGAGCCGCCCGACATGTTGCCATGTCTGTTATCCAGCAAGGAGCCGCCCGACATGTTGCCATGTCTGTTATCCAGCAAGGAGCCGCCCGACATGTTGCCATGTCTGTCATCCAGCAAGGAGCCGCCTGACATGTTGCCATGTCTGTTATCCAGCAAGGAGCCGCCCAACATGTTGCCATGTCTGTTATCCAGCAAGGAGCCGCCCGACATGTTGCCATGTCTGTCATCCAGCAAGGAGCCGCCTGACATGTTGCCATGTCTGTCATCCCTCCTCTGGTTCTACGGAACTCCCATCCTGCCCACATTCTCCAGCTGCTTTCTTTTAATGATTTAATCGACTTGCTGTTCCAACCTGTTAGGTTCAGAACGTCCTCGTTGTTACGCATCATCATCATCATCATTAATCTCAGACATTGTAGAATTTCAAAACCATTTTTTTCTATGAATTTCTGACTTTTGAATCATAAATGTAATTTTTTCTCTCTAGACTGCTCCTGTAAAAAATCGATTACATTTAAAAACCAAATTAAATCTCTTAGTTAAAAACAGAAATCATTTTTTCTCTAATCTTCAACTTAATCTGCCGTGAAAACGGAGGCGGTGATGTTTTGGGGAGGAGCCAATCAGAAGCAGCGCTGTGCTGTGATAGAAACCGGGTGGCTCACCCTGTCTGCGGGCTTTAACTAGGCCGTGTGCCTGCTGGTTGCAGGGAGCAGATCGTCCGGGTGAAGGAGGAGGAAGCGATCCCGCTGCTGGTGGTCGGGAACAAGTCGGACCTGGAGGACCGGCGCCAGGTGAGCGTGGACGACGGCACGGCCAAGGCGTCCGGCTGGGGCGTCCCGTACGTCGAGACGTCGGCCAAGACCAGAGCCAACGTGGACAAGGTGAGCGCTGTGGTGGGGGACCGCCTCTGACCTCTGCCGCTGCAGCCGCCTGACCTTTGCCCTCCCCTTGCAGGTGTTCTTCGACCTCATGAGGGAAGTCCGTAAGAAGAAAATGGCGGAGAGCAAAGAGAACGGGCCGAGCGGCGGCAGGAAGAAGGCGCTGCTGTGTGCTCTAGGTGGAACTGAGCGCGCTCAGACCGCCGCCCTCTGACCGCCACGCTCGCCTCATTTATCTCTGCTCACATTCCTGAGGCTCTGAAACACTTGTCTGCACCCTGGTGACCTCTGGTGACCTCTGACCCTGTCTCCAATCAAGCTTCATGTTAAACTCTGTAATCATGCCACAGAATGGGACTCTGAGGAACTCTGCTTCCAGCTTCTCTGGGAAATAGGAATATTATTATTATTATTGTTGTTATTATTCTGCACCAACACTCAATATTGTTTATATCTGATTAATCAAGTTCTGTTAGAAAAAGATTTTCTCTCTAATTTCCCTTCAAAATGAGTCCAAATATTTACTGTAAATACTAAAAATAATCTTCAGCAAGAAGCAGGAATATCACATCTAAAAATAGACTTTATGTAGAAATGATAACAACAGTTTAATATGTATATATTGAATTATGTAAAATAAAAGATGAGTTATTAAAAATGACTAACCTTAAAAGGTTCAACTTTTTATAATCAGATGTGAAAATAATGATAAAAGGGGGAGAAATTAAAAATGTTTCAATATATTTTATTTTTGATAATATTTAATAAATCTTTGATTATTTTCGATGTGAAATGCATTTTACTGTATTTAAATAGTGTAATTTATTGTTGATATTCTGCACTTGAATGAATCAAATCTTCAGTATTTTATCTTAAAGGTGCGGCAGGTCTCGCTCTGGCCACCAGGTGGCGCTGTTTCCTCGCTGTTGAAGCTGAATGGGACGGAAATTCTCCGCTCCAATTTTATGGCAGCTGATCCAGTTTGCTGCTGGTTCGGATCCGGCTGCAGGCTCAGGCCGCCTCCTGAGGCTGAGATCGGTTCGGCTGAGATCCAGCCGGTTCGGAGGACAGCGGCCGGTTCGGAGGACAGCGGCCGGTTCGGAGGACAGCGGCCGGTTCGCGGTGACTCCTCCTCTAAGCCTCTTACTGTAATCACGCTCCTGCTGAGGCTGCAGGACCCGGTTCCTGCCCCTCGCAGCTGCTCAGAACCGGCCCGGTTCGGTCCAGGATGCCGTGCGGAGACGCCGTGGCCGTGTGGGACGTGGCTCTGAGCGACGGCGTGTACCGGGTCGAGTTCGCTCACGGAACCACCACGGGGAAACGGGTCGTCTACGTGAACGGGACGGTAAGTTCTGACAGCTGGTTCTGACCTCACTGAAAGGACGGTCAGAACTCGGACCGGATAGGGCTCAGTGTGACGTCACGGCCAGGCTTGAAACTGCCCAAGAGTCCAAAGTGAGGCAGAAGCAGCAAACCCATCAGAACCGGGTTTCTGGAGTTCGGTGAGGTTCTGGTGGCGGTTTCATGATGGAGACATCCATCCATTGACTGAAACCCAACTGGACCGAGTTGGTCCAACCACTGAGGTTCTGGAGAACTTGTCAGGACTGCTGATTGGACCATCTGGGCTTCCTGTGTCGATGATGTCATGGTGGCAGACTGCAGGTCCAGTTGGACCAGCGCTGGTAGAAGCTGGAACCGAGGGAAACCAGTAAACAGGTACTGGAGACGTCCTGGACTCAGGAGACGTCCTGAAGTCAGGAGACGTCCTGGACTCAGGAGACGTCCTGGACTCAGGAGACGTCCTGAAGTCAGGACGTCCTGAAGTCAGGAGACGTCCTGGACAAGGTGAAGTTCTGGTCTCAGGAGACGTCCTGGACTCAGGAGACGTCCTGGACTCAGGAGACGTCCTGGACTCAGGAGACGTCCTGGACTCAGGAGACGTCCTGGACTCAGGAGACGTCCTGGACAAGGTGAAGTTCTGGTCTCAGGAGACGGTCCTCTGGCCTGACAGGTCAGGGTCGTAGATCCTCCAGGAGGATCTGTGGAGGATCCAGGTGAGTTCAGTCCTGGACGATGGAGTGGAGACTCACTGGTTGGTCCACCTCCAGGTCGGAGGACCAGTGTGGACTTTGTCCTGGTACGGGGACGGCGGACGCTTCGGTTGTGTGGTTGAGTTTCCATTGTGTGGCGTTGAGCAGACTCAGCTTGTCTTGGCTCCTGTGTGGTGGTGAGAGGAAACTCGTCTGCTGTGCAGGAAGTGATCCGGAAGGACTGGATGTTCAAGCTGGTGGGGACGGAGTCGTTCCGTCTGGGCGCCGCCGGCAAGGCCGCCGTCCACATCCAGGCCGTCGGCGGCTTCGCCTACCAATACTCGCTGGACGTCGGCGGGAAGAGCCTGCAGAAGTTCATCGACCACAGAGCCAAGACCACCAAGACCTGGGTGGTCCAGGTGGACGGGAAGGACTGCCGGGTCGTCCTGGGTGAGTCCAGACAGAGGTCAGAGGTCGACCTGAACACCGACCGGTCCTGACTGACTGTGTTGTGTCCCACAGAGAAGGACACCATGGACGTTTGGTGCAACGGGCAGAAAGTGGAGACAACGGTGAGAACCGGAACCGGATCCAGAACCGGAACTGGAGCTGGAACTGGAGCCGGAGCGCCACCATGAGGCCACGGCAGGAACTGGCATTGAATTAATAATTGAGCTGTTTATTGATTTAATGAGGCTTTTAAAGTAATGAATTAAAGTGACGATTTAATGATTTAGTTATTTAGTTACAACTGAGAAACGTTTCAAAGGGAATTAAATGTTTAAATCTTCAGTTATTGTTGGCAGGAAACCATAATATTGAACAAGTCGGTGATTAAAATCACTAAATTCATAAATTTATTAAATATGGGTTTTGATTTTAAACTTATTGAAGTAATTCATTTTCATTTTCTTAATTATTTTGCTTTTTTTTTTTCCTTACAGACATATTTAATATTCTTTTTCTAAATTTTGCTTCTACTGTTTTATTGAATTGTTTTAAATTTATTGGTATTTAAATTATTACGATTTTTTTACTTGAGGGTAATTTAGTTTATGAAAATATTTATTTTTATTTGAAGCAATTTCCTCTGGGTACCAATAATCAATTTTAGATGTAAATGTCCTCCTGTCTGTCCTCAGGGACAGTTTGTGGACGACGGCACTGAGACCCGCTTCACCCTGGGGGGTCACAGCTGCTGCATCAAGGCCACCGGCGGCGCCAAGAAGAACGGCGTCCAACACAGCCTGCTGCTGGGCCCACCTGCAGAGCCGGACCAGAACCAGGACCAGTAGAGATGGACCAGAACCAGGACCAGGACCAGTAGAGATGGACCAGAACCAGAACTAGAACCAGTAGAGATGGACCAGAACCAGAACCAGGACCAGTAGAGATGGACCAGAACCAGGACCAGTAGAGATGGACCAGAACCAGAACCAGGACCAGTAGAGATGGACCAGAACCAGGACCAGTAGAGATGGACCAGAACCAGAACCAGGACCAGTAGAGATGGACCAGAACCAGAACTAGAACCAGTAGAGATGGACCAGAACCAGAACCAGTAGAGATGGACCAGAACCAGAACCAGTAGAGATGGACCAGAACCAGAACCAGTAGAGATGGACCAGAACCAGAACTAGAACCAGAACCAGGACCAGTAGAGATGGACCAGAACCAGAACTAGAACCAGTAGAGATGGACCAGAACCAGTAGAGCAGGGGTCACCAAAACTTTGTGGGACTGGGAGCTTCTTCACGGGTACAGAGCAACACGAAGGACTACTTGTTTAATACAGTATATATAAGTATATATATATATGATCATATTAATGTCAGGACCACTAACAATAGTTATCAGTAATAATTTACCATGATAATTAATCGCTATTATGTGATCAGAAGTTTTTAGCTCACAGAGTTTTACGTTTGATTCCTTTTGGAGTTTTTCTCTGTGATTCTAAACTGACAACAAGTGACTGAAATAAACCAAATCAAACTGATGATTGTTGCAGTAACACCTGCAGCTGCACTGAGTACCTTGACATGTTCCTTTCAATAAAAAAAAAGAGTTATAGTTTTATTATCTAACCATCTGTTCTATTAGCAAAATTGTGGAAATAAAATATCTTTTGTGTCAAAACATATTAAACACACACAGCTGTCAGTCTGAGGGATGAGGAACCCAAAGCCTCAGTCTTATTGGTCAGTTTGCTTTTATTCATTTAACGGCTTTGCGTTTTTCTGCAAGCTAAAAATGAACCAGTTGGGTTTGAACCTCCTGTTCTACGTTCAGCCTGAGCTTCTGACAGTCTGCGCGGTTCTGGCGGTCGCAGGTTTATAGCTTTGTTCTGGTTTGGCGAACCGAACAGCTGACGGATCCCGCTGGCTAAAACTATCACTGCACCTGACCTGCAAGAGCACAAGCTCCTCTCCAAAGCGCAAAAATCAGCACAAACCTGAACCAGGAGCAGCGGATTTTATCCAGACGATGCTAAATAATAAAGACATGGAAGCGAAGCCTCCTCATCTCGGAAAGAGGTTCAGGTGTTGATTCCCAGATGCGCTACGAATAACATGTTTTTGGCACAATTTATTTATTTTTTCTTCACAATTTTGTTAATAGTAAATAGGGTTCAATAATAAGAAGTTATTCTTTTCTTTCTTTACTTAAAGGAAAATGTCAAGGTATGCAGAGCGCAGCTGCAGGCGCATGCGCAGTTCTGAACTTGAACAGCAGGAAAGAGTTTTATACAGAAAGCAATTTATTTTAAACGTTTTTATCATTTTCCTCTTTTGAACTCTAAATATAAACAAACGTCATTACTTCAATGTAAACATTTAATTAAATTATTTTTTGGTCCCTAATGATAATGGCTATTTTTAGAAGTGGCTCCGCGGGCGCCTGAAAAGGTCCCTGCGGGCCCCGGGTTGGTGACCCCTGAACTAGATCTTGTTTTTCTTTTCCGACTCCAATAAAGCTGTATCTCCTCTGCTGGGATTTTATTTTGAAAGGCCGTTAATGTCTGGTTGTCATGGCAGAGGTCATCTTTGCGCAGTCTCCATCTGTCCGAATGCAGCTGTTCAGCAGAACGGCGGGAAAACCGGAACACGACTGGACGGACCTTCAAAATAAAAGCTCAACACACCCATTTAGTTGTGTAATTTCTGACTAAATAAAAACAGATGTAGCTTTAATCTTTGTCTGCTGCGTGAAAATACTGATCAATACAGAATCTAACATTAATGTTGGTTTATAGTCTGGATTACAGCATATAAAGTTGGACTTCAATGAACCAAAATTAAACCACCTGAACAGTTCATGTGTTCACTAACTCCCGTTAATGAACACATTAACAGACGTCAAAGAAAACAAACCGGACTGAGTCAGAACATTTAGGTTTTAAACTGACTGGAAATAAACTGAAAATAAAACGTGCTGAAGTTTTGGCGATTCAACACAAACTGATTTAACAGAAATATCAATAATCTGAGTTAAACTGGTCCGGTCTGTTTGAAAGCCAGCAGAACCAAAACTGAATTTATTGACCTAAAATGATAAAAAACAATTTTGATTAAAACAATAGTTTCAGTTGGATTAAATGAGATGAAGTTGATTATTTGGCCCAGTAAAACCTGCGTTGATTCAAGTTTAATGGAACTGAAATTAAATTTTATTTCAATGTATTGATTTAATTAGAAGAAACTAAATCAATAAAACAAACAGAGTTGATTTTGGCTGAAATCACCAGAAATCAATCAGGATAAACCAGTTGGTGAAACTAGAATGTAAACTGAGCTGTTGTATTTTGAAAGGCCAAACCGGATGTGTTTGTTTGGCGGCGCGTGTTGACGGTCCTGGAGGAAATCCCGGCTGGGATCTTCGGTGTATCCAGGACGGAGCTCACCGCGCTGAGGAAGCGGTACAGGAAGACTGTTTGGCTTCTGTTGCGGGACAAACTTGCTTTGACCCGGTTCGGTCGTCCTGGGTCACCCGGTACCTCCTGTGGGCTCCCTCCGCTAAGTTTCCAGCCGAACCGGGAAGGTTTCCGGCGCTTTTTAAGCGCAAGGAGACAAAACAAGGAGCCAGGTTCCAAACTCGCCCCGCACGGATTACCGACCCGCGGCTCTGTTCCCGCATGCTGTCTGCGGTTGAAGCCCGCTCTCTGGCCTGATGTGAGTCCGACTCTCGCCCCTGGAATTCGGCGACTTTTCCCAGGTTTCCTCCAGGTTTACCAGCTGTAGCTGCTGGGAGCTACAGCTAGTTAGCTTTAGCCAGCTAGCATCCACCAGGCCGTTTGTCGTCCTCCCTCCGGCCAGTTATGACTCAAAGTTCCGCTGGAAGCTCCGTGTAATCCGGCTGCAGGTCTCCCAGCGGCCCGGTCATCCAGCCCGGCCTGGAAGGATATGGGGCAGCGGAGCTCCGTCGCCTCCCGCACATCCGTCACCGCAGCGGAGCAGGAACGCGGGGAGCCCCGGGGACAAGTAGCCTTCCCCGGACTGTAGGCTGCCATCTGGCCGCCGCCGCTGGAGGGACCCCGGTTCTCCTGCCCGGGATGTAGAGCTGAGTCCGGGATTATTGTTACTGTCGTTCCCAGAAAGCCTGAAGCCGTCCCTGGAGCCGCGTCTCCCCGTCAGGATGAACTACCAGCTGGCCAACTCGGCCGCCATCCGATCCGAGATCCAGAGGTTCGAGTCGGTGCACCCGAACATCTACTCCATCTACGAGCTGCTGGAGCGGGTGGAGGAGCCGCTGCTGCAGAACCAGATCCGGGAGCACGTCATCGCCATCGAAGGTAGGACCGAGAGAGATGCGGGTTCTGCAGGCCCGCCGGGCTGCTGCGCATCCTGCTGCTGCTGAGAGCCGCAGTGTGTGTGTGTGTGTGTGTGTGTGTGTGTGTGTGTGTGTGGTGTGTGTGTGTGTGTGTGTGTTACTGCTCTGGGTTGGTTCTGAACATGCTTGACCCGCCCGGGTCACTGAGGCTCTCCGTTCTGGTCTGAACAGATTTCGTATCGTTTATCGTGATAAATTTTATCGATATTTTAAACCTCTGTTATTGTTTTCCATTGATTGTATATTTTTATATGAATGCATGGATACAAATCAATAGGTTTGATGATCTGATTGAATTCAGTTCAGTTTTGTAACTGCTGTCCTGCATGAACAGCAGTTACAAAAATATCGTAAATATCGCGATGTTTTGCATTGACTCACAGTCTGGCAGGCCGTGATGCTGCGGGCCAGAACTTAATGACCAGTTTAATTAGAGCTGAGGCTCTGTTGGTTCTGCTGGTCCAGTTGGTTCTGCTGGTCCATTGGTTCTGCTGGTCCAGTTGGTTCTGCTGGTCCAGTTGGTTCTGCTGGCCCGGTTGGTTCTGCTGGTCCAGTTGGTTCTGCTGGCCCGGTTGGTTCTGCTGGTCCAGTTGGTTCTGCTGGTCCAGTTGGTTCTGCTGGCCCGGTTGGTTCTGCTGGTCCAGTTGGTTCTGCTGGTCCAGTTGGTTCTGCTGGTCCAGTTGGTTCTGCTGGTCCAGTTGGTTCTGCTGGCCCAGTCCAAGCAGAAGCCCGGCTGCTGCAGCTGCTGTTTCCTCCAGAACCTCACAGGAATCTTCATTGTTGTTTGCTGGTCTGTCCATCCTGAAGCGGGCCCTTCCTGTTCAGTACCAGGTCCAGAGAGGACGCGGCAGCTGAGCAGACCTTTGTTCTGCCGGGCCGTGACCCAGTTTGGCCCGGCTGCTGTTTGTTCACCGTCAGCCTTTGTTTCCTCTCAGCCTGGATCTCAAGTTTCTGTTTCTGAAGCTACATAAAGAACCAGAACCCGGCTGAGGTTTCTGCTTAAATACACACTGTGGTGCTGCCTGGTTCTGCTGGAAACGACCAGAACCGGTTCCTTATGTAACCATGACAACTAAAATCAGTCCTAACATAAATGCACCTGGTTCAGGTCCAGAATGTTGGAGTTAAACCAACATTCTGGTTAGCATTAGCACAGTGCTTAGCATTAGCACAGTGCTTAGCATTAGCACAGTGCTTAGCATTAACACAGTGCTTAGCATTAGCACAGTGATCAGCATTAGCACAGTGCTTAGCATTAGCACAGTGCTTAGCATTAGCACAGTGATCAGCATTAACACAGTGCTTAGCATTAGCACAGTGCTTAGCATTAGCACAGTGCTTAGCATTAGCACAGTGCTTAGCATTAGCACAGTGATCAGCATTAACACAGTGCTTAGCATTAGCACAGTGCTTAGCATTAGCACAGTGATCAGCATTAGCACAGTGATCAGCATTAACACAGTGCTTAGCGTTAGCACAGTGCTTAGCATTAGCACAGTGATCAGCATTAGCACAGTGATCAGCATTAGCACAGTGCTTAGCATTAGCACAGTGCTTAGCATTAGCACAGTGATCAGCATTAGCACAGTGCTTAGCATTAGCACAGTGATTAGCATTAGCACAGTGATCAGCATTAACAGTGCTTAGCATTAGCACAGTGCTTAGCATTAGCACAGTGATCAGCATTAAACAGTGCTTAGCATTAGCACAGTGATCAGCATTAGAACAGTGATCAGCATTAGAACAGTGATCAGCATTAGAACAGTGCTTAGCATTAGCACAGTGCTTAGCATTAGCACAGTGATCAGCATTAGAACAGTGCTTAGCATTAGCACAGTGCTTAGCATTAGCACAGTGATCAGCATTAGAACAGT